CAAAACCGTTGGTTTAGTTCATTCAAATAAACCAAATCTGGTGTTTTTCTGGGAAACACAATCAAGCCAGAGAGTAGTGACCAGTGTCGTATGCGGGGATTAGGTTTTCATCATTCTCATTGCTTTTTTGTTGATGCGATCGATGTATCTGGAGGCTTAGTAGTAGCTTGGTTCCCCGGAGTAGACGCTTCGGTGTTTTTTCATTCCAACTTTTGCATTTGTACGCAAGTTAATGAATTGGATTTTTCCTATGTCGCGATTTTTGTTTACATTAGCTGTAATGCTGCAATAAAAGCTATTCAATTGGCTCAGCTTCGTGAAATTTGTGATACCATCCACCAACCCTATGTTATTGTGGGAGATTTTAACGCGACTCTTCATCAGAGTGAAAAGGATGGGGGTCTTTCATGGAATGCTTCTCAGTCTCTTAGCTTGCGTGATTTTGTTCAGGATTTGGGTCTTCACGATCCAGATTATCATGGTGATCAATTCACATGGACGAACAAACGAATGGGTAGAGTCTGCATTCATGAGCGACTAGATAGGGCTCTTTGCTCCCAGTCCTGGATTGACAAATTCCCGAAGACTTTGGTTAAACACTTTACAGATCAGGGGTATGATCATTGTGCCCTTTTCCTCTCCGACAAGACATATGATCGTAATAGTCGCCCAATGTTCTGCTTTGATGCCCGCTGGGTTGATAATCCGGAGGTCAAGGCCATGGTGAGCTATGTCTGGAAAGAGGATATTAAGGGTACCCCTATGTTTCAACTTTGGGAGCTCCTGAATAAACTACGCCATCTGCTTTATGATTGGAGTAGGGCGGGTACTACGAAATCCCTGCGTAACATCAAAACTCTTCATGGGGAGATAGATTGAGTAAAATTAGTCCACCCAATTGACTGGGATGCAGTTCGTAGCCTAGAGGCTGAGCTTTCTCGCCAATGGGAGGCAAAGGAAATCTACTGGCAACAAAAGTACAGGGTCCGATGGTTGGAAAAAAGGAGATAAAAATACTTCCTATTTCCATACGGTTACGAGAACTCCACGTAAACGTAATTTTGTTGTCGGCCTGCACAATGATAATGGTCAGTGGGTCACTGAGGAAACTGGGAAAGCAGCCATTGCTACTGATTTTTATCAGTTCCTATTTACCTCGGAGACTCAAGTCCTTAATATGGCTGAAAGGGTGGCAACTCTCCCCATTTCTCGTAGCGTTACTCCGGAAATGAATGCTAGTTTGACGGCTAAGGTCTTACCTAGTGAAGTACGGAAAACAATCTTTTCCATGGGGTCGAAACAGGCACCAAGATCTTGTGGCTTCACATGTAAATTCTTTAAGGCTTTCTGGGATATTGTGGGTGCTTCGGTGGTTGAGGCAGTATGCTCATTCTTCGCGACGAGTAGGATGCTCATGAGTTTTAACCATACTTGGCTAACCTTGATTCTCAAAGTGGATAATGTGGAGAATATGAGGCAATTGCGTCCAATCAGTTTATGCCAGTTTGTTTATAAAATTATAACCAAAATCATGGCTGAGCGGCTTTCTTGTCTCTTACCACACATCATTTCGGAGGGTCAAAATGCGTTCATCTGGGAACGACAGATAATTGAAAATATCCTCCTCGGCCATGAGTTAATGCATTATCTAAAAATTAAAGCGGGAGGAAAGAAAGGGTACATAGCTCTAAAGGTTGACATGGAAAAGGCCTATGATAGAATCGAATGGCCATTTCTTTTTGCTCTGTTGGATAAGATGAGTTTTAAACATATCATCATCATTTTCTGTTCTAATGAATGGTACCCCTTCGGGCTAATTCACTCCTTCCAGGGGACTATGACAGGGTGATCCTCTCTCCCCTCTCTTGTTTGTGCTCTGCACCGAGGGGTTCGCAGCGCTCCTTCGCAAGGCTATTTCGGAAAAGAAGCTTGAAGGGGTTAAAGTGGCTCCTCGTGCCCCTAAGATTTCCCACTTGTTCTCTACTGATTATTTGTATTTATTCCTGAGAGGCACTCTCCAAGAGTGTGAGAATCTGATCGAGGTCTTAAACGAGTATGAGGAGCTTAGTGGTCAGCGTGTGAATTTGGCGAAGTCGGCAGTATGCTTTAGTAAGAATATTTCTCTGCCAGACCAAGATTTTTTGGCCGCGATTTTGGGGGTTGGGGCGGTATGGGTCCATGATAAGTATCTGGTTTTACTGACGCTGATTGCCCGGTCTAAAATGGCTACCTTCCGATGTTTGGAGGAAAAATTGTTAGAGCGACTCCATGGGTGGAAGCAAAGGACATTATTTAGGGCAGCTAAGGAAACTTCGATTAAATCAATTGTTTTGGCATTGCCGTTGCATGTGATGTCCTGTTTCAAATTACATATCTCCTTGTGTCCTCTTTTGGACAAACATGTGGCACGGTTTTGGTGGGGTGCTGATGAGGGACATTCGAAGGTACGATGGATGTCATGGCGCAATATGTGTAGAAGTAAACATGATGGGGGGATGAGATTTTGCCAATTTGAGCATTTTAATTAGGCTCTTTTAGCCAAAATTGGTTGGCGTATCCTTACTGAACCCCAATCCCTTCTGGCCCAAGTTTACAAAGGAAAATATTTCCCTAAAGGGTCCTTCATCAAAGCTACATCACGCTCCCGCCCCTCCTGGGGTTGGCAAAGCGTCCTGTATGGACGACATTTGTTGGAGATGGGCTTAAGATGGCAAATTGGGAATGGTCGGTATGCTTACCTACTTCATTCCAACTGGATACCTCGGTTCCATCTTGCTCCCCATAGGTATAATCCGCAAATCTTACCTGACGGGGGTGACCCGCCTGTAGCTGAGGTTATTTTCCAAGGGGAGGGGCGTTGGTGTGACTTCAAACTTCGCCAATGGTTTGACTCGTGAACCTGCCGTGCCATCAAAGCAATTCCTCTTCTACGTCAGAATGTGGAGGATAGGCTGATCTGGCATGACACAACTGATGGGGTTTTCTCAGTCAAGTCAGCCTACCATCTAGCTGTCTCACTTGATAGGATGAGGGGTTGTTGGAAGTTTATGGCTAGCTGGATGGATAAGGCTAGCTTGATTCATTTGTGGGATGCTGATATTCCCCCAAAATTGAAAGTTTTTGTCTGGCAGATCCTCAATCGAGCCCTTCCAACTACTAAAGCCCTTATTGAAAAGAAGGTCCCGGTCGATCCCCGGTGCCGGTTTGTTGTGCTTGCTCTGAGACGATGGAACATTTATTTCTCTATTGCCCAGTGGTGCGGGCACTCTGGGACTGTTCGGGTCTGGAGTATCTGGGGGAGGGATTGCCTCGACATACTTTTCCATTTTTTCTTAAGAGGCTGCTGGTTTTGATCAGCCGACGTTGTTCTTGGCGGTTTTGGTCGTCCTCTGGAGGATTTGGCGGTCTCGTAATTGGGTTGTCTTTGTAGGCAAACAGTTCGGGATCCCTGCGTTGATGCGTCAATTTAATCAGCAGTATGAGGAATGGGTTAGTTTGCCGCATACCCATGCTCCACAAGTTACTTCCCATGATATACACCAACTGCGTCCATTGGGGGCTAATAGGATTATTTGTACGTGGGATGGGGCCACGAAGAGTGGGTCTTATTCGGCAGGCGGGATAGTTCTTTTGAACCTGGTTAGGGAGATCCTCATGGCTAAGGGGGTTCAATTCCAGTTGATTGATGACCCTATGGTGGTGGAATTGCTTGTGCTCAGGGAGGCTATTTTATGGTGTATAGAGTTCGGCTTTACGGACATCATATTCGAAGGTGATGCCAAGGTGATCATTGACAAAATCAATCAAGCTGACACCAGAGATAACTGGATGGGTGCTGTTCTTGAAGAAATCGTGCATTATTTTTGCATCTAGTCTGGGTTTATTGTTCGATTTGCAGGTCGACGTAGCAATAGGGTAGCCCATATGGTTAGGGGGCAACAAAACCAGAACCCACGGGTACCCACCCGACCCAAACCGGTCAACGCGGGTAAAATCCGTGTTGACGGATTTTGGCCGGGTTTGGGTTTAAACCTGGTCACTATTCACCGAGTTGGGTTGGGTTGGGTTTAGGTAAACCCGACCTATGGGTACCCGCCCGCACCCATATAATTAATTTTCTCGGTATATTTAATATTCTAAACAACTAATCTTATCTATGTTTGTGGAGACATGTCTAATTTTTTCTTTCGAATTGTGTAGAATGAAGTTGATGTTATCGAGTGGAGAGTGAAGAAACTTAATTGAAAGGAAGAAGCTTTCAATTAATCATGTTATTTATGGATAATTTGTGATTTGCTTCAATTGTCTTGAGTTTTCTAGATTGGTGTAGAACAATTTGTATAGTTAATTTGTGATTTGCTTGAATTTTCTAGAATGGTGTTTTAAATATGGATAATTTGTATTGAGAGATTGATATTTGACTTTAATTTTGATAGGAATTTGTAATTGTAAATTTTTTACGACAAAACCCGTGGGTACCCATGAACCCGCGGATACCCAGCGGGTTGGGTTGGATTTGAGTTTTTCAAACCTAGCGGGTTTTACCCCGGGTTTTTTTTCACGGATAAACCCATGGGTTTGAGTTTGACAAAACCCGGCCCAAACTCACCCATTGCCATCCCCTACATATGGTGGCTAGAAATGCCCTTTCTTTGTACACGACTATGAATCGTTTTTTTTTTCCTAGACCTGGCTGAACTGCAAGATGTAACTATCTTTTGATTTGAATCAATATATGATTATCTTTTTTAAAAAAAACTAAAAAAAAATGATAGAAAGAAAAGAAAAGGGTTATTATTGATGCTGTGGGCTTGTAGCCTTAGAGCCTGGGCCACGGCCCATCGCTTTAAACCACTAATTCAGTCGTGGTCCATACTGCACTACCCTGACCCAACATTTCGGAGCCCAATGCTCTTACGAACCCACTCCAGGAATTGCGGTTGGCTATGATGCAGAGAAGAGAAGTCCCAAGGCGATCGGAGAGCGAGAAAGGCGAAATAATGGCAGAAGCCGGAAATAGCGGCGGTGGTGCGAGGAAAAGAAAAATGGCAGACAAGAAAGACGCCGGCGGCGCCCGTAAGTTGGCGCCGAACTCAAATTGGCCTGCTATCAAATCCAAGAAGAATCTTCAAATCACTCGTCTCAAAGATTCGGACCTCTTCACTGTACGTTTCTTCTATTCCTTCCCTCCTTCACCGATTCATTTGTTGTAGCTAAGCGTTGAATTTTGGGAACCTAGAGACTTGAGAATCAAGGTATTTGCAGGGGGCTTTTTAATTTCGTGGCTTTGAACTAGCTAAGACTGAATTAATGTTGTTTCTACTTTCTAGGTGCCAGAATTCTTGTCAGCAACTGAATCCAAGGCCTTCATTAGAGCTGCAGAGTCCATTGGGTTCGTTCATCAGGGCAGTCTTGGTCCAACGAAGGGGGAAGCTTACAGAGACAATGACAGGATCTCGGTGAACGATCCGGTTCTGGCAAGCACGCTTTGGGATTCTGGGCTTAGCAAATTGTTCTCTGACATCAAGATTAGGGGCAAAGTTGCTGTTGGGTTGAACCCAAACATCAGATTCTACAGGTGAACTGTAGACAGAGAATCTCAGTTAAAGAATCTTAGGAGAGATCATATTATGTCATTAAAGCTATAAGCTTTTGTTCAGGTACAAGGTTGGCCAGCGATTTGGGCGTCATATCGATGAGAGTGCGGACATTGGGGATGGGAAGCGCACGTATTATACGCTCTTGATATACTTGAGTGGTAGTTCTAATGCCAAAGCTAGTAAGAGTGAGTTAGATAGTCAGAAGGATGCATCCATGGAGCCTCTAGTTGGAGGAGAGACTGTGTTCTATGGCTGGAGGAACAATGTGGTGGCAGAGGTGCCTCTCTTTTCTCTATGATCTGTGATCGTCTTGTAATTGTTTCTTTGACGGTGGTTTCAATTTCATTTGCATGACGAGTTATATTGGCATTCTTGTTTCTTACTCTGCAGGTGGCTCCCGCTGAAGGAATGGCTCTGCTGCATATTCATGGCGACAAATGCATGTTGCACGAAGCCAGGAACGTGTCGAAAGGGATCAAGTATGTGTTTCGATCTGATGTGGCCTTTGCTTGAACCACGAAATGTGTAAGTCCTGTACTTGTACACGAACAGAATCAACAGATTGATTGCTCAATTTATTCAGGGTAGCTTTTCAGACTTACAGCCATAAGCTTGATAGGGCTCTCCACGGTTGTAAGGTGTGTGAAAATTGTGTGCAATACAATATCAAAGGGAACGAAAGAAAGAAAGAACTAATCTGTGGAAAAAACATCTCAATTAGTATCAATTCACAGAAGCGCATTTGAGCCTAACCTCTCCCTTCTCAATCACACCAGCATTCCCAAGCTTCACCATTGAAGCCGCAAACTCCCCAAAGAACAGACTCTGATCCTTGGCAAAGGCTTCAACGGTCGACTTGGTATTGTCATCGATGAACAATGCCTGGTCCGACCCGAATACACCTTTCCCTTGAGTGAGTTGTCTGAAGTACTCGTTATCAAAGATTGACGAGGTCGAGTCCAGTAATGTTCCTGCACTGGGGTCGGTGTGGGGCTTCCTACATTTCTTTCTCAGCACCTCTGCCAACTGGAGATTCATGTTGGGATCAACATCGTGCATCGAGCTGAAGTTGTGAATGCGATTTTGGAAAGAAGAGCAGTGTGAAAACCCTAGGGTGTGTCCTCCAGACAAGGCGACCAAGTCCTTGACTCCTAAGGCTCTCTTGGCAAAGCTATGGATGAGTTGAGACACGTTGAAGGTTGGAGCTGGAAGATTGATAGTGTCGCTGGCTTTCGACACCCTTCCATCTTTCCTTCCTTTTAGTACGTCCCAGCTAGGTCCTCCAGACTGAAAATCAAAATCCCAATTACAAAAGCAAAGATCATTTGAGAAGCCAAAACTAGTAGACAACATAGTCAAGTTTTTTAATTCTCACTATGTAAGTTGCTAACTATTACCATGGTTACTACATCTCTGGCTGCTATAGCTATAACATCTGCACAAGAAACCGTCTGGGGGCAAGCCATTTCAAGTTTAGCTTTCGCATCGTCGATCACGTAGAATGACCGGACTGAAACATTGGGAGGGCCATCTTTTTCGGCTTGGTTTCCAGGAGTAGTGTCGAGCAGGATAGAGGCATCACAACCCTGTCAGGATAAACCCATCATTAAAATCCTTCAAACATCAAACTAAATCAGCAGTAACCATTAGAACCCCATGAAACTAAAACATATGGCTTTGTTTTGTACCCTTATGAAACAATCATGGAAGAACATCCTGAGGAGGCGAGCGGGGACTTTGGGGTCATAGATGGAGGCATTGCGAACCGTCTGCAAGATGATGGCCTCGGCCTGTGGACATGTTTGATCATAGTAATGCGAATCCAGCATCGCTCGAGAAGCCGGAATCGTAATCAAGAGCAAGGCCAAAGAGCAAACGACTCTGTAACTAGCCATGCTTGCTGTCAACAATGAAAGTTGATGAAGTTATCCGACCATAAACTGTACGTATATATAGTGATGGCGATAATGAAAAGAAAAGGAGCAGAATTTTATGTACTTTGAAGTCACTCAAAAGGCAGACTGAAGGCTACTGAGGCTGTCAATTTGGTTGGTTTTGGCTGTACTTTCCCAGTACTCTGTACTTTGTTAGTGCCATGAATATGTTAATGTAGGAGAGACTAAATGGGTTGGTGTATCTGATTTCTAGAGAAAGATGGGAGACTTGGGTTTGTGTGAAGCAAGTGCAATGTACAGAAAAACCTCTTAAGGGAGGGAGCTATGGTTAGGCTGACAAATGTTATGTTCTTGTTGTGGTTAAGGGCTGGAGATGAGGATGATTTCCCTTGTGAGCTAAGGCTTGGTTGAATGTGGAATAACGGATGAGAGTGATTAATACTAAAATACATTTGGTGCTTTGGGTGGCGGTTGGCTTATGTCCATCAATGATCTGGAAATAAGATCCCAGTTGGTGAGAATGAGGAAACACAATCCACCTCCTCTATTAGCAACTCTTTCCTTATTGATTTCCTTTGTTTCAATCGTAAATAAGGTGAAAAGCAGTACCATAATTCATTAACAAATAACATGAAATATTATCATCCAAAACATCATACAAAAGTTACTAGACCAAATATCATACAAAAGTTAATAGACCAAAGAACTTGTTGAACAATAGTCACTTATGTATTAACTGAGTGATATTTGCCCTCTACATCTTCTGGTTTTTCTCTGTGTGTATTTGTGGTGATGGCGGGGTTGGAAACCAAGTATTCGATGAAATGGTTCCGAGAGATGAGATGTAGTTTCTTGGACTAGTATGAACTGATATCTTTACAAGGATCTGCCTTTATTTTTTGAGCCTGGATGATCTATCAGATGCTGCAACTTATGTTAGTGCATAGACAACTCTTTTTGTCTTACAGAAGGTGATGGTATGGCTCTGAATTTCCCATAGGCGTGAGACAATAGACACTCTCAAACCAAGGACATTCAGACACTGTTAGAAGTTAGAACTCAAGACCAACCATTTGTTTGTTGAATTGAAGCTCATTCTTCCACATAAACATGGTTCTCTGTTGTCTCCATATAGTTATTGATATTTGCAAGGTTTTGGAGCTTGGAATGATGATCGGTTTCAAATGTCTTTTTTATTATTTTTTTTATTTTTTACAGCAAACAATCTGATTCAAGCAACATAATAGTCATAACAAATAAATTGGTTACACTTCAATAGTTTTCTGGTTTAGACCTGTATACCTCCAATTTGCTTTCTCTACAAAGTCAGCATCCAGGAACTGAGCTATGAAAGCCCAAAGCCTGTAAGTGTCCTCAAAATTGGATAGGAACCCAAGTGCAATTGTGACAACCATGATTCCCAAGTTTCTTTTATCTTTCTTCTTGTTTGTTGCCATTCCCTTCCCTGGGCATCCTTTGGTTTCCAGAACTGCTGCCTTCTCTGCTTCATACTTATCTGGGAATGAGATGTGGTGTAAGAATCCATAGCCAAGAGAAATATTGCTCCTGTCAGCTAGTTTCTGCACCAGGGTAGCTTCAATCTTTTCTCCTTTCCAATCAAACACATTAAAAGCCAAAGCAGGACCCCTGTCAAATTTCACTTTGGGTCCATATATTCTGACAAGGGGGATTTCCTGTGTGTTTGGATGCTTAAGCTTCATCAAAGCGTTCACCAGCCAATTGATCAAGCACCTTCCTCTGCTACTGATCTCAGTCAGCCCTAATGAATCCACCTGATCCAATCCCCTGCATTCAATCTTTGATATTTGCTTCTTTCTGTACCCAGTCTTCTCTGCTTGGACAATGCTAGCTTGTTTCCCTGTTCCAGTAGTTTCTGACTCTTTCTGCTTTACAGATGCATCTACAGTTTGCTTCTCTGGAACTTCTCCCTTTTCTAGTATGGGACCTGAGAAAGAGTTTGATGTATCCACCTCAGCCTCTTCTTCCAAACCGAGCTTAGGCATGTATTCAACTTCAACATCTCCACCAGACATTTCATCCTGCAAATGGAACTTCTTCCCTGGCAGGAGGCTCACCATACCAGCACCTGTATAATCTTCCAGAAACGGAATGGTGGATTTCTTGACGAAGAGACATCCGAACCCAGATGGGTTCTCCCCAAAGACCTTGTAGAAGGAGGAGACAATGAAATCTGGTTGAATGAGGGTGAGGGCAAAGCTGTCCATGTCCTTTGGTCCCAATGCACAAGCATCGATCAGTATGTGCCACTCATTCTCCTGTGCAGTTCTCATCCATGAATATGGATATCTAGCTCCAGTCATCCTCGAATGAAGCGGGAAGACGAAAAGCCCTCTCTTCCTTTTCTTCTTTCTTCTCCTCACAATCAACTTCTTCAGCTTGGCCGAGTTAATCCTCAGCCTGGGCCAGTTGAACTCTGCTGACATGCTTTTGGCTCCTTTCCTTTCGGAGATTTTAGTCATGGCTTCCACTGCCTCGCTTTCGTAGTCATACACACTGAGAAGCTTGCTAGAGGACTTGAAAGGGTAAGACTCCGCAAGAAGCTTGAAAGCAGAAGTCCTATTTGCAGTGAAAACCATGCTGTAATCTTTTGCTGATATGTTGAGGAAGCTCATGACCCTTTTCTTCATGGCGGATTCTAGCGCCGATTCCTGACCACCATGGAGGAGCTGCGTCTTAAGACTCCCTGTCTTGTAACACACGGTAAAGTAGGGAAGATTCGAACTTTGAAGTTGCGGCGAAAGAGAAGCAGAAGATGAAGATGGTCCAACATCTTGTCCTATAGAATCACCTGATTGCACTTGGGAATAGGAGAAGAGGCCGATTCCAATGTAGTCAAGGCAAGTATGGTTGGATTTCGAGAGATGGTGGTAGTCTTTGATTCGAATGTTATCCACCTCGTACGTTGCAGAGTAGTGCGGGTATGCTTTGGCGAATTCTGCGAATGCATCGAGCAGAGAGGGTAGAGAGTCGGGATTTGTGAAGTGGGTGGCCGGGAAAATGGAGGAATTAGTTGCAGTAGTGAAGTTCCGACGGCTGGTAGCCAAGGTGGTCGTCGTTGTTGTGGTGGTGGAGGATTTCTTGTTGTCAGGAGGCTTGTTGAGGGGCTCAGGATAGCCGAGGAGAGGGCCAGGGCAGCAGCCTTGAAGAAGGAATGCTTCAGGGAAGTCGTTTAGACAAGGTGATTGCATCTCTCCCTATCCCTCTTTTCCTCTCCTTACCAACTCTACAATCTTCTTCTTCTCTCTTGTTTCCCGCTGTGAGAGGTGTCTTGTTTGTTTCTGGTTGGCCATCCAAATGTTTTTATATGGTGAAGTGATTATTATCACAACGCTGTTTAGAACGAGTCTGCCTAGGGAGGTCTAATTTCAATCGTTATTTTAACAAATTAATGAATGATAGGGACGGGGTGGCCCATTTGGTGCAAGATACAAACTTTCTTTGAATTAGTCGAATAATTGATTAAGCCTGACCATGTCCTCCTCTTGTTCCCCACGTTGACTGTGCTTTGCTGGTAACGGTACAAAATGCTAGTTTTAGCTACAACTCGGAACTCTTTTCACATATTAAGTGATTGAGACAGCAGTGTCCTAATATGAAATTCAGGAGCTTCTTTTGCAGCATGCTTGGTGCTTGTTATATAATGCAAGACCGGCTTGAACCCACAACTGAGTAACAACAATCTGATTCTGACGTGAGTCTTCTCCCATGACATGGGAATTTTCACTGCACTGCATGTGTTTCTTTCCGGCCTATCTTGCATCACCTGAAGTAGACTTGCTCTTAATCTGTTAATTTTTTTGGTGGGTGTTAGTGATGAAACCTTGTCTGCACTTTGATGGGTTGTAGAAACTAGAAAGTAGAAGCAGAACAGGTAGCTATGATTAACTCTCTTTATCTTTACGCTTTTTTTCAGGGATGGGCGTGAATTCTGGCAAGTAATGGTGGGGAGGCAGAGCAACAAAGCAAAAGCACAGCTTATTGCCTTCTATCAATCATATAAAGTTGCATCCTTTTTTTGATGGGTTTTGGTCTTTCAAATGCTTGCTTCCGATTTAAGGCTCTTAGGTAATGAATTATTTCCTCTGTTTCCACTTTCTCCCTGCAAAGTGCACATCTCCCCATTCATCTGCTGCCAAGCAGATACATCTCTGGTGAATCAATTTTCCTTTTCTTCAACTTTTTTTTTTTTTTTAACTAGTGGTATCTATTTAATCATTGCACTGGCATCATCAGTTGGGTTGTGCGGGAAAAGGACCAATTTCCATTGATTTCCCACCAATTCCATTATAGGGTCCCCTTTTCTGTGCAAATTTTATGTGTATGGTAGGATTGAGGGTTTCATTTTTCCTTGTGTGCAGGCAGGCAACTGGGAAATTGGAGGGAACAGGTTGCGGCCAAGATAACAAAAGGATGTTATTCAAGACTACGATAAAGGGGAAAGCTTGCATGGTTAGTCTATGAGGGAAAAAGCAAGCAGAGCACCAAGGAAGAAAAGCCATGCATTACGGGGAGAATAATTTGCTCAAACAGCAGAAAGAGGGAAAGTGAATGTCAATCAGTATTATTAGCATTTTTGGACAATGAAGTATGAATGAAAAAGTCTTCTTCCAAACACATCAATGGGAAACCAAGAAGTTGCAAAAACTGACTCTATGTTTCTCAAATTATGATTGTTCTTTTCAAACGTATGCCATACGACTGGAAACAATAAAACGGAAAACCATTTTGCGTCGAATACTTTTTTCAAATGATTTGGGAATAATAATTTCGTAAGTCGTTAGTGAAGAACGATATTCGTGACGAGATTTGCTCGAATAGGTGTCTCAACTTCACACTACTTCACACTACTTGGGCCGTGGAACATTTCCTCCCCCCAAAATGACAGTTAGTAGGTGTCTCAATCTTTATAAATGGTATCAAACCTACCCTTTCTGGTTGTGTATCATGCCTCCATTGATTAATATACTGATAGTGGTTGAGTTGAAGACGTGAAGAAACAGCTCAGCAAACTCTTTCAATCCTCCTTCAGATTAATAAACGAAAGAAAGGACAAAATAAGGAGAGGGAAACAAAAAAAAACCCCTCTCCAGTCTGTGGCTAATGACTGATCATCAACCCACTTGGCATTTTGTCCAGGCCTAGACTAAGTTTTGTGCATGTTTTGTCCTCAGGCATATTGGACACAAACAAAAGCGACAACAATGCTGTTTGTCTCTTAAAGCGACCACAATTCAGGCGTTTTTAACTTTATCAAAGATGAACGGAAACAGGAGCAAATGTCAAGTGTCTTGTTCTTGTATATGTTTTACCAATGAAAATGAACCTGAAGCTGAAGCATCAAAGTTGAATTGAACTTACCCTTTACGCCAATATGGGTTTTTCGTGAGTAAGCAGAAAAGCAGTCACAGGGCAACTCTCCTTTGGCAAGCCCCCAAAGCCGGCAATGTAGTACCCCTGAGAGAGACTATGTGTATGTTCCCTTCGCCGGCCGGATTGCCTGCCAAGTCAGAGGTGCCCTACGACTGATTTGCTTATAGATGATGATATACAATTTGGCCCTGCAGATCTCATTTGGGTTGCTGTTGGGTATATAAGAGGGCGGGAGAGAGATGGGGATAAACCCTTTGGCAAAGGGATGGCATATCCTTTGGTGAAGGAGCTAGAGGAGGGGAAAAGCATGGTTTATGCCTGTGGATATACCCTTCTGTATTGGAGAGGACTTGTCAAGTTTCAACGGGTGATAATGGAGGCTGGATGGATAGTCAGGTCATGTCGCAGCACGAATCTTGATGCCACCAAGATCTCTGTTTTTAAAGAAAGATTGAATAGATTCTCCTCTTCTCCATCTTTGGTCCCCAAGTCTCTACCCAGCAATGGCCTTTCAACAATGGGTTCAAACTTCTAACTCCAACTGTCTCTATTCTGGTTACAAGGAAAATGCAAATTAGTACGTTCATGCAGGGGTGGACCAGGGGACTCCTAAATTTTGAAAAAATGATTATGGACAAAATAATTATAATTAAGAGTTTGTGACACGTCTGGAATTTTAAAAAATGATTATCCTACTCTCTATTTTTTAGTTTGCATATGGGAATATAAGTGGTAGTTTGGACAATTCAAACCTAGGACAATATTATTATTAATAAATATAATTTCCATTAGCCTACAACTCAATTGTTGTTCAATGTTTAACATTGTGTAATAGTAAAATGTCATTCCCTATCACTAATTATTTTCAAAACCTAACAATTAAACTAATTTCAAACTACTCGTAATGTGTATTGATTTTATTGTTGTACGACATATGTTGAAATAGTCTTTTCAGCTCGAGAACCAGTTTCGAAATCGAATATGCAACTAGTTCGTGAATGATTTTCTTGTAGGATATACATAGACAATTTTTAAGCAGTGTAGACACCAAGTGTATTCTACAATTATTTTTTAAACTTGTACAAGTTAGGTATTTTCTTATTTAAATTTTATTAATTATTTAAAATTTATTTTTATTTAATTTATTTTTTAAAAGAGGACACTCCTATGTAAAGTTTCTGGGTCCGCCACTGCTTCCATGTACGATGGCAATTTCGACCTGATCCGTTTTACCCGATCTGTTTGGATTGTATTGAGGCGGGCCGTAAGCTGGGTGGGATAGGCATGGGTACTCTCGTCGACACGACCTACCTTGACCCGCCCCATTCTCGATCCTTTCTTGCTTAAATTACATGTAATCCTAGTCAAATTACTTAGGATTTTCCTTTTATAACATCATACTTTAGCTATAATAATGTTGTAAAGTAGTGAAAACCTCAATTCCTCCAATAATTTATCTACATTTATAGTTATATGGTTTGTTTTCTTGATCTTAAAATGAAAATAACGAATATTTCTAATATTTTTCGTATAAATTATATACCCACCGGATTAACCTATCCCGACCTTCAATCCATAATAAATGACCCGACCTGTCGTGGTATAGAGGGTATGGATATCGAGATACACGTCCCGAATCTGCCCTTCTCATTCCTACTTCCATGTCTCTTTTTTCTGTTGTCCCGCAGATGGTACGTGGTTTTGTTTGGGCCAAGCCCATCAGATACAGGCCCAAACTGAAGCGGTGCCGGATAAGAAATCCTTCCCCAATATGGATTCGAAAGCCACATCCTCCTCCCCTGTATCTATTCCTCTGCCCCTTTCACCGACTTGCTGAATTTCCGTATCCGAAACAGAAACCCATTTTTCCTTACCGCCTCTCCTACCTTAACACTCTCTCTATATAAACTATGAACTCCCATCTTCAATCCCACACGCAAAACTCCTCCACCGATCATATTGCTACTGATCATAATGTCTCTCACGCCGAAGAACTCGTTCGCCATATTGGCCGACGCAGACACGCTGGAGATCGCCAACCACGCCAACAAGGACCATTACCTGCAGAAGAAGAAGAGCGGCGGCGGCTGCGGCGGCGACGGGAAGAAGAAGGAACAAGTGAGCCGCTGGTATGAGAATTACAAGCAGCGTCAGGAGGAAGAGCAAGCCTCCAAGCAAAAGCAGCAGCCCGAGAAGTCCAATTTTGTTGTTCTTGGTCACGGCAGTAACGCTGGCAATAGGAATAACGGTAAGGGTGCGGTTGAGAAGTCGCCGTCGGCGGTGAAAAACTCACAACAGGGGAAGGCATCAACCAGCAACGCTAGTGGTAATAATGGTCAGAAGATTATGGCCCAGGGTACTGATTCTAAGGCAAACAATTCTTCTAGGCCTAATAAAGAAGGGTACTTGAGCAAGCAGCAGAGGAAGGCAGGGGAAGATTACGGGAAGGCATCGAAGAACGAGAACGGTGTGGTGGAGAAAGAAGAGATTGAAAGGCCAACGTTCAAGTTTGATGATTTTGCTCAGTTTCCGGGTCTCGGTCGAACCCACTAAAGCACTCTCATGATGGATTACAGATTTAGTGCTCTAGTTGCATGTTTTTGTGTGTGTCTCGGAGCGGATACATGTGTAATTTACTCAATTTCAATGGTTGGAATAGAATTTAATTTTTTTTTTTTTTAGTTTTTGTGTTATGGTTTTTCCAATTTTCTTGACAAGGGTAAAATAACATGGAATTCCTAAATATCAAAAGCACCACGTACCATATCTCTTTGTAACACTATTACATTACCACCAGTAAAAAATCATCAAACAACCCAATCCAATTGCTCATTTCAATTTTTGGAGCATGTTCAGCTTAAATTAAAGAGCACTCAACCCCTTCTCCTATTGTGGCAATTTATGAACAAAAGCCCACAGCCACAGTTGCACCAAAAACATTTTCAGTCTAACATACTAGTAGTACGAGTAACCAGAAAAAGCAAGCGTTACAAGAAATTGATGGCTCAAGTTGGTTCTAGACTCGAAGGCGAGGTAGTCCAACTTCTAGGTAAATAGATTAAATACAAAGAAACACCATGTTTTATCCTCACACTAATTTAAATAGCCATAACACCAAACTTAGTCATAAATGAGAAATCCACTTTAATGGTGTAAAGTATGAATCACAATTTTTTCATAATCTTATGTTTACCTCCATCTTTACCATTTTTCACCGAGCGGTAGTCGTGAGGTGCCATTATTTCCTTCGTCTATCACTGTCATTTATTTGCTACAATTTCTTTTCATCGCCTCTCTACGGTTTAGGAAAAATATTTTTGTTCTCCACTCTCAATTCATTCATCGGCACCTTCCTCGTCCATACACCTATTACGTCGTAAGATAAGTATTGAAGATGATTCAGCACTGCAGAGCTTATAGGACGACGATGTTTCTCCCTCGGAAGCAACAGATGGGCTGAGTAGAGAACGGTGTCGTCTTAGACAGTGTAGAGTCAGTTTTCCATTTTTACTGTATATTCTTACGTGTTAGTTTTTGATTGGTAGATAGTTCTTTTTCTATTTGTTACCGTTGGTAACTTTCATCCCTTTCGTTGAGAAGGTTTGACAGAGAATATATACAAGGCCTTTGAGCCACAAGGTGCCTACGGGTTCCTTTACCAATTTCTGATACCTAATTTCACATGGTATCAGAGCATGATTACTTTTTCTAGGGGTTTCATTCCCACCAGTCCTGCATTCTTCTTCTTCCACCTTCTTCCGCACTAGATCTTCATTTCTACAACAATGGCAGCGGAAGCAGCTACTACTATATCGTTGAGTTCTACTGTAGCCACGAATACCACCACCACTGTCACAAATCCCTTATACATTAACCTTAATGAATCTCTGAACTTTCCAATCAAGCTTACCGACACCGCCAACTACAACATGTGGAGCATAACAGTTCGTGTTGCACTCAAGAGCAAGAACAAGCTTGGTTTCATTACTAGAGCGATTCCTGTTCCAGGTCTGGGGCATGTGAGCTATCAAACATGGGAGCAGAGCAATACGACTGTCTATTTCATGATTCTCGGGTCACTAGATCCCAAATTGGTGAACAGTGTGTCCTCCAAGGACAATGCCAACTTCTCTGGGATGATTTGAGGCAGAGGTATGGGCAAGCAGACAACATCCATATGAGCGATCTACAGACAACTGTTTACACTTTGAAACAAGGTAACAAGTCAGTAAACCAATTCTATTATGAGTTGAAAGGGCATTAGGAAGAACTAGCTCAATTTCTGTCTATCCCTAATTGTGTGTGTGTGGGAGATCAGGGGAATAGAGCTGCTAATTGTATTACTGAGACCACTGTTAGGAAGTACCGTGAAAATAAATGCGTGACTAGGTTCATTACTGGATTGAATGAGTCGTATGGAGGAGTTAAAACCAACCAGCTCATGATGATTACCCTGCGACCTATCGAAACTACTTTCCATTATGTAATCCAACATGAAAGGCAGTTGGGAAAGCCAAGTGAGGACTCTCGAGTTGAATCAGTTGCACTAATGGCTACAAACCAGTCAAAGGGTAAAAAGAGTGCTATGGGTGGTCGGGGTGGTCCTTTGTTTTGCCGATATTGCAAGAAGGACAACCATGTTATTGCTGATTGTTACAAGCTCAAGAGGAAGAACAAAGAGAATGGATCAGCTTCTGGTTTTGCAGGACAAATTCAAGGAACAGACAATACTGGAGGGGGGGATTTTGTCTAAACCAGAAACTAGGGCAGTGACTGAAACCACTGATGGTTTCACAAATTTAACACTTTCAAATGAAGATTTGAGTAGGCTTCAAAGGATCCTGACTCAGTTCAGCTCACCAAGCTCTCCTACTTCACCTGTTTCCCTGGACCAAATCTCAGTTCTCTCCACCAACACCAGCAACCAATGGTTAATTCAGTGAGTAGACATCTCTTAGTGACTTCCAATTTTGCAGGTAAATAGACTCTTACATCATATTTTCAGCAACATCAATTGGAACTAGTCAATGTGTGGTTCTTAGAAACAGGGGCAACTATTCATGTTACATGTTCTATCTCTAGTTTCATCAAATGTTTTCCCATTTGAAATGTTTTTATTACCTTACCAAATGGATCTAAAACTCATGCCACTCACTCTAGGGTAGTGAGGTTAACTCCCAACCTCATAATACATAATGTCTTGTTTGTTCCAACTTTCTTTTTCAATCTAATATTAGTAAGTAAACTCACTAGGTCCCTACCCATTACAGTCACTTTCAAGTCCACAATTTGTTCCATCCAGAACCTTCTGACCTCGAAGACGATTGGTTTTTCCCAATAGACTAGAGGTTTATACCAGCTCATACGTACCGCCACAGATGAAACACATATATATACCAATTCTCTCAAGACTCACAACCTTACACCATCGCCATTTGATCTCTGGCATTGGTGACTTGGACACCCTTCTTATGTTAAAGTTAAAGCATTAAAGAAAGTTGTACCTAGTATAGATATCTCTTTTGTTCAACACTGTGATGCTTGTCCTATTTCTAAACAGAAACGTCTTTCATTTCCTTCAAGCTAATCTGTGACCAACAATGTTTTAGAACTTATCCATGTTTATATTTGGGGCCCCTTGGAAGTTTCCCGTTACAATGGTTTCCATTATTTCCTTATCATTGTAGATGACAAGTCTAGATGTGTGGGGACTTATCTTATGAAGTTTAAACATGAAACAAGAAAATTGTTATAAGATTTCTATGTGATGGTCGAAACACATTTTGAAAAGACTGTCAAAACAGTTATATCTTATCAGGGGGGAGAGTTTCACATGCCTGATTTCTATTCTAAGTTTGAAATCACTCACCAAATGTCTTGTGTTGAAACTCCACAGCAGAATGCTCGTGAGGAGAAGAAACATCAACATATATTAAATGTTGCTAGAGCTCTTCTCTCATTGGGATAACCTCGATTTACTTTACTTGCTTGTTTTCATTTGTAGCTTTCTTAGTTGTAAACCCAAAAAACATTTGCTAGATAACAAACTAACCGATTGGAGTAGGGTTACATGGATCGGCTCGGATTTGACAATTAAAACATACTCGCCCTATACTGCACCCAGCTAGAGTTTATGCTTGAGCTCTAATTGTGATTAATTTGTGGTGTATCCGTTGTGAGTCAATGGTGATATTGAGAGACATAAAGCCTGACTGGTGGCTAAAGGTTTCACACAAATCTATGGAATAGATTTCCTGGATGCATATTCCCTAGTTGCCAAATTGAATTCAGTTAAGACTCTATTGGCTGTAGCAATAGCTAAGAACTGATACATGTTTCAGTTAGATGTCAGCAATACTTTTCTGAATGGAGAACTTGAAGAAGAAATGTACACGAAACTTCCACCTGGAATTTCTAAACCTGGTTATGTCTACAAATTGAGGAAATCACTCAATGGTCTTTAGCAAGCATCTCGCCAATGTTTTGCTAAGCTTACTTCTGTATCACTCAACTTTGGTTATGTGCAATCTCCAAATGATTACTCCATGTTTACACATCATTCTCCTTCTGGTATTTCCATCCTACTGGTGCATGTTGACGACATCATCATTGTTGGTGATGATACATCCAGTATGCTATCATTGAAAACTCATCTTAGTTCTCAGTTCAAATTGAGGGTTCTCTCCACTATTTTCTTGGTCTGGAAATCGCACGATCCAGGGAGGGTTTTCACATCTGTCAAAAGAAATATTGTACTGATCTAGTAAAACAAACGCTAGCTTTGCAAATTCTAAGCCAGTGGTTACACCAATTGACATGAAAACCAGGTTGTCTGCAGATGATGGTCCTCTAATGGAAGATCCTGCCCTTTTCAGAAAGATTGTTGGCAGGTTACACTACCTAACCATTACTCGACCTAAGATAACCTTTGTTGTTCAACAGTTATGCCAGTATCAAGCAGCTCCTACAATCACACATTTGCAGCTTGCACACAGGATCCTTAAATATCTAAAAAATGCTCTAGGTCATGGCATGTTCTATCCATCATCTTCTGATTTGAAATCAAGAGGTTATAGTGACTCGGATTGGGCATCTTGCCCTGATACTAGAAGATCCACGACAGGATATTGCATCACTTTTGGTTCTTCTTTGATTATATGGAAATCCAAGAAATAAAGTATTGATTTCAGGTCATCATCTGAGGCTGAGTATATAGCACTAGCTCAGCTAACCTGTGAAGTGGTTTGGGTTAAGAGATTGCTACAGGAGCTTCGTATAGAAAATCCTCAACCTGTGAATCTCTTCTGTGACAGTCAATCTGCGATATATATTGTAGAAAATTCAGTGTTCCACGAGAGAACAAAGCACATCGAGATCGACTGTCATGTTGTTAGACAGTTCCACCCATTGAAACTAATAGGGTTGAGTCCCCTTGATACTGAGAATAAAATAGCTGACTTGTTCTCGAAGGGACTCAGCCGCTTTAGACTCGATTACTTGTTATCCAAGCTGAACATACAGAACTTGTATGCATCAGCTTGAGGGAGGGTATTAAAAATGATTCAGCATTGTAGAGCTTATAGGACGACGACGTTTCTCCCTTGGAAGCAACAGATGGACTGAGTAGAGAACGGTGTCGTCTTCGATAGTGTAGAGTCAGTTTTCCATTTTTACTGTATATGCTTACGTGTTAGTTTTTGATTGGTAGATGGTTCTTTTTCTGTTTGTTACCGTTGATAACTTTCATCCCCTTCGTTGAGAAGGTTTGATAGAGTATATATACAAAGCCTTTAAGCCACAATGTGCCTGCGGGTTCCTTTACCAATTCCTTATAACTAATTTCACAATAAGCATTTCTTTTGAGCAAGAAAGTATTCATTGAGGCTTCTGCTTCACCCTCACTATACCGCCTATTTCACTGTCAAATGTCTTGCTTGAGCTTGCTGAGATAGCTCAAGGCTCTGGGGAGATCGCTCGAGCAAGTGAGGTGGAGTCAGGACGATCTGAATTCTTAGTACTCCAGAAAATATGAATCATAATCATCTCATAACAATATTTTGTCAAACTACAATATAAAAATGACAACATTTGTTACAAAATGGGAGCCAAATATTTAGTAAAAATAGAATAGGAAACACATTGTCTAGGTAACTAAAATATTTTCAGTTGTTTCATGTTATTAGACCAAAAATCATGAAATTATTCAACATAGACCGTAACATTTAACTCTAGAAACTAATTTAAGTTCATTATTTTCAACAGGTAAATTGTAATTATCAGTTATTATTAATATATAAAAATTAACATTGAAGTTACTATCATTAGTGACTCACAAACTCTTTCAAGTGCAAGTAGCGAAGTTTCAAGTTCCTCTTTTACCTCACCCTCTCATTCTGTATCTATGTGTTTATCTATTGCCAATTAGGTTTTTCATAGTAGTTATTGTCTACTTAAGTTCTAAATCCCAAATCCTTAAATCTATGATAAAACATCTCAACAAACAAAGGATTATTACAAATCCATAATGCCTCAAATTCTTAATAAATCCTTGAGTTTTTAATTTTCAAAACACTCATTTTTAAATCCATGAAGCAAACGACCCCTTTAGTTTTCATATCCTTAGATTTCTGTCTATGATCTTCTGCCCAAATCATGGACTTGATCCACTAATTCACAACTCATCTCGAAACATTATCGATGCAATCAATGAATAATAGATGTCACGGGCCACTAGCGAAGAACCATAACATATCCTATTATGCACAATCCTCGCCTTCACCCACTAATTCACAACCCTTCTCCAAACATTGTTGGTGGAATCCTAATTTGTACCCATTCAGCGTGTCCAAAGACTAATACCGAAAAAGTAATACTAAATATGCTCTATGTGTGAATTTGTTAAGAACTCGATTCGATTGGGTCAAAGCGAGCTAAACACGGTGTTGACGAGTTTTAGATCGTGAATGAGTTTTGTGCGCTTTAATGTTTTTTATTTCTTCTTTTCATTTTGGTTGAAAATGACAATTGCAACCAGACCCGGTGCTGACGAGTTTTGTATTGAGAGTGCGTTTTACCTGCTTTTAGAATTGACATGCTGAGCCGAGTGCGAATTATTAAAAACTCGGTTTGAACCAATGAAGGCGAGTTGAGCTCGGAGTGCAGAGTTTTTAGTAGGGAGCGAGTTTTATCCGCTTTAGTATTTTTTATTTATCTTTTTTCTTTTGATTGAGCATCCAAACGTATAGGTATCCAACCTATTCAACCTTATGAAAACAACTTAAACACGGTGTTTACAAGTTTTCAGGCGAGAGTGAGTTTTATTTTCTTTTGTAATAGACAGGTAGGGTTGGTTGTGAATTTGTTACAAACTCGGTTTAACCCAAGCAAAGAAAGTTAAACATGACGTTGCCGAGTTTTGGATCGTGAGCGTGTTTTATCCGCTTTAGTGTTTGTTAATTTCTCTTTTTCTTTTTGGTCTTCCGAAGAACAGGGCTTTTTCGAATAAGCCTATTCATTGAGAATGAAACTGAACCCAAGTTCATGGGTATTCAATTGTAATTCAATCTAGCCAAAGTGAGTTGAACCTGCTCAAACCTGCAATCAGTCCATCAAATCCATAAATAGGAAAATCAAGATGAACTTAAAAAAAGCAAAAACAATACAAACTAATAAATAGTGTTATGAGAGAAGATAAAACATAAAAAATCATTTGTTTGACGACCATTTTCCCTTATCAAAGTTCATGGTTGCGTCGACTATATAGAGTTGTAGATGACAAGCCCTTTTCTTTTGGGTCAAAATTTAAACTATTAATCTTTAAAATATCACGTTCTTGCCCACACACAAAGCGATAACGAGCGTGCTTATACTAGTTAGACTTATAATTCCAAAACCACTGTATCGTGTTCACATATCTTTGTAACACGATTCATTATAACGATCCACAAAATCATGAAACAAGTCAATCCAATTTCTCACAAAACTAAAAACCATACATTTCTTCCTAACATCATTTTATCATGCCTATCGATTGACATCCCTCTCCCCTGTAATTTCAAGGAATGTGGCTATGCCACCGTCTCCTCCAACTCGCTGGAAATCTCCCCCGCAATCTCCTCAAATTGACCGGAGGTCTCCCTTGCAAAATCCTCACCCCCATGTATCTTCAACAACAAAAACCCACGAATCAACTCTATCATCAACACACTTCAAACAAAGATCATTCAATCAACCCAATCAAACAAATCACACTTACCTTCCAAGCATCATAACAGTGGCTTGAGGGTTCGTCCCTGGTGACTTGAGAAACGTCGACCCATCAATCACCCTCAAACCATCCACCCCAACAACTCTGTAATCTCGATCCACCACCTTCCCAACTTGACACCCACCATGGTAATGCCAAATCGTCATCACCGTGTCGATGCAAAACTGCTCCAACGAGATCGACGACGAGACGTGCCTCAGGTTCACCGGCAGGTTCAGCATCAAGTCCACCAGAGCCTGAACGGGCAAATTCGCGTACCGGAGCCTAGCGAACGACGGCGAATTGATCATGTTTACGATGCTCCTCATCCCTTCCACGCAGCCGCGTAGGTCCTGCGGATCCTTGAAGTAGTTGAACGTCACTGAAGGGTTGTCCCTCGGGCTCCTGCTTCGTAATTTAAGATCCCCTGAAGATAACGGCCCCTTCACTTTCTCGAGTATGACTCCCCCCTTCAAACTCGTGTTGGCGTAGGCGTGCACCGTGTCGATCGCCTTCGCCATCGTCTCCGCCGTCAGCGACGATGGCTTCCCCGACTGAAATGAAAAAACAGAGGGGATGAAAAACAGAGTGTTATCAAAGGTGATGTAAGTATGCCAATGTGTTCAAGAAATGTAGTTTAACCTGATTGAAGAAGGTGACATAGTCACGAGCGAACCCCTGAGCCCAAGAGTAAGCGAAGCTCAACCCGCTAGCAGTTTCGATGTACGTGTTCTGGCCTGGAGGGATGCCGACGACTTGAATGAGTGAGATCTCGACCGGAACAGGGGAAGGAACGTAGAGGAGGTTCATTGGATTGTCGGCCATTCCTTGTCCCACATTGGGTTGATCGAGAACTACATGGATTCCATGGCTCTTCAGATGCAGGGCAGGTCCGATCCCGCTCAGCATCATCAGTTGCGGGCTTCCGAGCGCACCGGCGGTCAAGATTACCTCGTTCTGTGGGTGTGGTCTCAAGAACGCTCTCTTCTTGATTCCTAACGCGTCCTCGAATACGACACCGTATGCTCTTGGGTTTGCCCATCGCCTCCCTGCCATGTTACAGAATTGAGTCAATACTATTATTTAACAATGTTGATACACTTTTAGGTTGATTCTGATGAGAAATTCTAACGATCAATTTGACTCAATTGTCCAGTTTCGAGACAAGTAGATTAAATGGACTTGTCTGACACTATAAAATGTGAAGGGTTATAGCAATGCAGTCAAAATCGCGATTTTAAAACTGAAAATCTTACGATTTTACGTTTCTAGGTCACCAAAACGCTTTCGTTTCTATATAAAAATTTTAGTGTATAAAATCGAACTAAATTGCACTTTAAATCTTAAAAGCATACGATTTTACGCTTCTAGTTCACCAAAACGTTTTACGCTTTTATGTTTCTAGTTCACTAAATGGGTATTCTTTTCATGAAATTATTAATAAAAAAGTATATTTTAAAGTTAAATCACCAACAATATGATACATTTGAGATTAAAAGGTACATACAAGGTACTTGGATGCTTTATCAGCTTCAATCGAGTAATCTAATTCACCAGCTAGGCTCTTCCCAAATTCATTAGCATAGAGGGGAAGGTGGCTTATTGTTAAAATCTATGTTTAGGAACTTATTGTTAAAATGCTATGAGTTGCTCTACTTTAGATATGAATTGCAGATATTTATTAACTTACATTTTGTGCACTCATATTTTACATAGTATATGTCGTACTTAACAGAGTTTTAGCTATTTTACTATATGCGTCAAAAACTTGCGCTTTTACCGTTGATTCTACGCTTTACAATTTTACCCTTTTCCCACTTCTACGTAGAATCGCGCTTTTGACTACATTGGGTTATAGGTATAATATGTTTCTCTACTATTTCGTTTTATCAAACATGTCTTTCTACTATTTTTTTACTTCAAACATACTCATGTACTTTGGGAAAATGATCAAACATGCCCTTTTGATAAAATTTTCATACAAAAATCGTCAACAACGGTCAAATCTTGGGCTGGGAGACACAAATATCTAAAATATACCTAATAATTCACTTTAGAATTTTTTTTGTTCTTTTGTATAGCCAAATACCTCTAATAATTTCACTTTAACGAGACCTATAGAAATAAATCATGGGACAAAACTAAAATTTTCTCTCCCATTTGTTGCTGTCGGGTCATCTAAATCTCGGTTCAACCGTGGTTGACGATTTTGGATGAACTTTTAACAAAAGGACATGTTTGATAATTTTTCCTAAGTGCATGAGCATTTTTTATGTAAAAATAAAATATTAAAATAACATGTTTGATAAAACAACATAATAGAAAAGCATATTATACCTATAATTCAAATGTAAATGAAGCATTTGACTTGGAAAATTTCGAATAAACTCATTTTGATTTTTGAGGGTATGAAGCAGGTAATTTGAATTATTGATTCATTCTAAATTACTCTGTTTTGTAAAACGAGACAATTGAGTGAACAGACGATGAATCCATCCAGACGAGCCATTAACTTCTTTTTTTTGCATACCTCTACGAGTGAAGAGAATTCTGGAAACGGTGGCGTGGAGGTAGACCTTGATGGTTCTGTGGTTGGCGTACCCGAGGAGATCGGCGGCGGTGTGGCGGCGGCCCTGGTCGTCGAAAATCGTCCCGCCGATTTTGGTACCTTGGACGTGGTCGTAGGTGAACCCGTTGTACGGCAGGACCCCGATCTCGACGAGCCCGTCGCGGACGGCGGACTGCCACTGCCTCACCGGCGGCTCGAACGCGACTTTGGACTCGACCCAGTCGTACGACCGCCGGACCAGCTCTTCATCCCAGCCGGCGTCCCGCGCGAACTCCGGCTCCGCGCGGGAGTAGAACCCGGCGTTGATGGCGCTCCCGCCGCCGAGCACCCGAGCGCGCGTGTTGTACACGCCGTCCTCCGAGATGAAGATCTGGGAGGCCGAGTGTGGTGACGTGTCCGAGATCGTGCTCCCGAAGTTCCCCACGTTGGTTATGTTGGAGTCTCCGTACGGGGAACCGCCCCTTTCAAGGACCAAAACGGTGGCGTTTTGAGACAGAGTCGCCGCCAGCGGGCAACCCGCGGTTCCCCCGCCGATGATGATGTAGTCGAAGTACACCACCGGCGGGGCTACGGTGGCGTCGTGGACGAACGGGAAGTGGTGATCAGCTGAGATCAACGTGGATCACATTAATTCAACTGACTAATTGAATGATTAAATTAGATTAGATTAGAGATTATTATATTAATGAAGAAGATGGCGCGGGGGGTGTACCTATAAATGAGCTGCAAGAGCCATGGAGAATGAAAATGACGGCGAGAAGAAGAGCTACGATAAATCGCATGTTGTCTTTGTGAATTTCCTGGACTGAAATTACCCAGAAAAACTTGAATTTAAAGAACGGTGTTAAGAGATAATCATCTCATTTAAGAGGACACTCCTATTTAAAATTCCTGAATCCGCCGCTGCCAAATGGCTGGAGTTCTTGAGTGCACAAAGATTATGTCTCTGCTTTAAATGTACAGTGTGCACAAAGATTATGCACAAAGATTATTAGTAAAATCTTGTCATCTAAAGATTGAACATTTTTTTTTTTTTTTGCAAGGAATTAGATTAAGATAAGGAAATCAGTCAGGGAATTTGGGTCTCTACCGGAACCAAGATTGCTGTGTGTGGTCATTCAAGATCGTGTTTGCATGATGTAATACAGAAGGTATGAACTGAGTAGTTAATTACGTTATAATGAACGCATAGTTAGTGCCATTATGGCTGTCGCAACCGTCTCTCCGGGGTCCGACGTCGTCGCATCGGCATTTTTGGGAGTCGCTTTTGATCTTAGTTGGAGTGGATCGAACACTCTTCGGTCGGCTCTAATCTTAGGTCAGAACCGGGGCTTGGTCTGCGAATTAGAAATATAGAGATCTAGGTTCGGGAGTACTGTTACGTGTGGGGAAGTGAAATCACACCCCACAACGCCCTAAATCGGTACTACTTAAGTCGATAAGTTTTTATATGAGTTGGGTGTATTTTAATAATATTTTTGTAATTTTAGGTCCCACTCGACCATTTAATGATTTTAATCGTATTAGCTGTAATTTAATTGTACGCCCACTGACGTAAAAGATAAAGTTAATTGGTTAGTTGGACTCGAACTTTATCGGTTGCCTACGTACCCGTTAGACGGGATCAAAGTCCACGTAGTTCGTTCGAAATTTGACAATTTAATTGTAATCACGTTCCACTGATCGTGATTTCGTATTATAATTTTGTTAATAAAAATTCATTTAGATTATTATGAGGTTATGACAATAAACGCGAGTATTTTAGCTATTAGGAAGTATTGTGGCGTATTAAAAAAACGAGGTAAACTTAATCCGCATTCTACATTTCGTATTAAGGATTTTAAAACAAATAAAACTAAATGGGATGACAATTTTCATGCATGATGGGCTGGCAGCCCAACTGGCTAAAACGCCACACCAAACACGCGTTTGACCCAGAGAACGAGGGTTCGAAACATGTTGGCGGAGAATATTTTTATTTCTCGTTTTGGTGCCCCAAAATGGGGAAGGGTATTTTTGTAATTACCCAAAAACGCGGTGGCAATATCTCGTTAATATTTGGAAACCCTAAGGGCAAAATTGTCATTAAGAAAGTTGAGGTATATATTCATCTCTAAGTCGAAAAATTATAACCTTAATCTATTTCGACCTAGCGGCCGCCGCTCAATCTCTCTCCTTCGTCTCTCTCTCGTCCAGAGAACCCAAACCCTAGCCCTGATCCAAAACCGCCGCCGACATCCTCCCAATAGTCCAGATCAGAGGTGAAGAAAACACCTCTTTCTCACCTCATCCTCCTCATTTTCAACCTACACTAAGCCTCCTTCTCTCCCTGTTCGATTCGCCTAAAAGACCGCTCACACTAGACGAAATCAACCGAGATGGCCTCGATCTAGGTGAGATCGAAACATGCACGGTCTATTTTCTTTTGATTTCTGGGTTTTCGAATGAGGTTCTAACCCTTTTTCTTTTTTTTTCTTTCGGAGATCGATCCAAAACCGAGAAGGGACTCTTGACTTACCTTCTAATAATCTCGATCTACCCTTTCTAGTTGGAACAGAGGTGACGACGAGGAGATTTTACCCTATGGTAAGCTCTATTCTACATGCATGTCCATTTTTCATTCGATTTAATAAATAAGATTGGGATTTGACTTTTTTTGTTTTTTTGTTTTTTTGTTTTTTTTTGTTTTTTGTTTTTTTTTTGTTTCGGACGAGGGAAGGAAGGGAAAGGCGGCGGTCTCCGACGGCGCGGCCTGCGCCAGAGCCGACGGCGAGGGTTCGGTTTTGGGGTAAGTCCTTTGTTTTAACCTTTTTTGCTATTCTGCTTTTTATTTATTATCATTATTTGGGGTTCTGATTCTTGATTTCTTAATTTTTTGCAGATCTATTCAATTTGAAGAAGACTAGGTGATATCCCTCTCAATCTCGATCTTTTTTTGCTCGATTGGCTGCTAAGAACCTATGATTTAATTATTTAGCTAAAACAGTTTTATCGGGATGCTTTGAAAATTACTTTCTTTGTTGGGCATAGCTACTGCTCATGACCATCAGCTTGATGGGAAGCTTCTATACGAATTTGGGCCATAGCCACTGTTCATGACCATCAGCTTGATGGGAAGCTTCTCTAAAGTTGAGATTTGGTTAAGTAATTGATTAAAAGGCTAATGCTAATTGGTAATAAATGGAATTCTTAATGAAGGCAGGGCTTTTACTGTATTCAGCATACAAATGACAACTAAATGAGAACTTTGTGATTACCAAATCTGGTAATTGAGTAAAGAAAAGGGGCGCCCTTAAACATAAATGAGGTATTTTAAAATACTCTCTCAAAGATCTGGTTTGAATCCTATTTTGTGTTTTGAGTAGATTGCTGGATTTTTGGTATGTTGAAAGAGTAAATGAATTAGCCTAGCTGATATTATTTCTAAGTTCAGCTAGCAATTGAGCAAGAATTATGCTTGCTAGAAAAACTGAAAGCAATTTAAACTAATTCATTGTATGTTGGTGATAAAAGTAAACTGTCTATTGTAGCATGTAACAAAAAAAATGGCATAAAGAGGCATACATTTCACAAAGATCAGAATTTCGTAATACCCACTTCACATATAAACTTAAGCAACCTAACTATGGATTATGAATTTAGAAGCAATCATCATTTACAAACATGTTAATTGAATTTTTCTACATGGATGTATGGATGACTAGATGCTTGTATGGTTGATGAGGTGTAGAAAATACCAACCTATGTTGCAATTTGGTGGAGTTTGATGGCGATAGTTTGTTGGCTGTTGCTATTTCTGACTCTCTGCCCCTTTTGGATCCTTAGTGTTTCTCGTCTGCCTCTTTTGGTGCTTAGTGCTTTAATGTCTTTGTCTCCTTTTTGTGTGTTTTTTGTTGGTTCCCTCTCTGCACTTTCTCCACCAAATCCTCTCTGCCCCTTTTCGGGGTAAAAAACCCCTTTATATATGATCACTTTTTACTGTTCATCATTGTGTGCTGGCTGCTCCTCCTTTGCTCTTGAGGTGGTGGTCTGAAACACCTTTTGTGTTTGCAGTTTGGTGTTGGTTCTTTGGAGGAGGTGGCCGAATTCCTCCTTTTGAGAGGCGGCAGTAATTTCTGCTGCTATGCTACTCTGTTGCTCCTTTAGATAAGATAACTGATGCTCTGCTACTCTGCTGCTCCTTTAGATAAGATAAGGATGATGGGTTTGGTTGATTGGGTTGACCTGTGTTGACCGATTTGACCATAGTGGACCTGGACCGACCATACTGGATTGGGTCGAAATGTGGGCCTGGGTTGAGTTTTATAGTTTGAGAATTGGGCTGCTGGTGTGGGTTTGTTTCTGATAGTTTTTTTTTAATGTATAATTACTAAGTGTATCTTAAAGGTTATAAATTGTAATTTGTAATTACACATTTATTTATTTATGTTATTGCCTTCAGAATTAGATGATCATTGTATGTATTGCTCAAAGCTCAAACATTCAATTGATTCTTCCAACCCAATTTGTTCGCTTATCCAATTTCAAACCAAATCCAAACATCTAATCAATGCTTCGCAAACCATGGATTTGGGTCGTTAAGCAAAATTACCAATGACAGCATACTATTGTTATTCTGAATAAAGCGAATTCGGTAGCCATTAGCTACTGCTAATCCTACCTAGTACAAATATTTGAACCAAATACTATTGTTAGTCTAAACAAAGCGAATTCGGTAGCCATTAGCTACTGCTAATCCTACCTAGTACAAATATTCGAACCAAATAAAACGGACTTAAAAGACGTTGGTACTTATTGATTCGCCATTGCTAATCTCAACCAACCTCGTCCAAATTTTTACTTGAGTTTTCTTTTTAAGTTAGACATTCTTTTGAGTTTTAAGCAGGATGGTTGCTCCGGACAAAATGTGGTGTCTACAGTTGCCCCCCTTTGTATATCTCTTTGTATAAAGAGTTATACAAAGTTCTTATAAAGACACCACATTTTCTAAAAATATCATGATGGTTGTGTTAGGGTCCTTGAAATAGGAAGTGATTTGAGGATGGTGTTAGGATAGTAAGTGATTTGGTGTGTTTGTATAAGATTTTCAATAGCGAGAACTTCAGTTTCTTTGATAGTCTTCGTCGCCGATGGAAAATTTACGTTTTTATATAGCGTTCGCCAACGCGAGTAATTTTATGATACTCACTCTACTGTACTTCTTTGATGATCGACAGTGTCAACGGTTTCTTATGATGCCCGTCAATCATCTTCTGCTACATTTCTTTAGCGCTTGCCAGCTCCGGTTAGGTATTTACTGGTAGGGGCGCTCTTTATCTCTTATGCGTTATTGAATGATAGAGGGGCTCGCCAGCTCCTATGAGGTATTGATTTGGTAGGGGTGCTCCTCAGCTCCCGTGAGGTATTGAATGTTAGGGGCGCTCCTTAGCTCCTGTGCGTTGTTGACTGATAGAGGGGCTTGCCAGTTCCTGTGAGGTTTTGAATGGTTGGGGCGCTCCTCAGCTCCCATGCGTTGTTGACTGATAGAGGGGCTCGCTAGCTCCTGTGAGGTTTTGAATGGTTGGGGCGCTCCTCAGCTCCCGTGAGGTATTGAATGGTAGGGGCACTCCTCAGCTCCCGTTTGTTGATTCTCTTCCGTCATCTTCTATGGTACTTCTTTAACGCTCGACAGCGTTGGCGGATTTGCTGATGCTCGCCAGTCATCGTCTACTGTAATTCTTTAACGCTCGACAGCATTGGCGATTTGTTGATGCTCGCCATTCATCGTCTACTGTATTTCTTTAACGCTCGACAGCGTTGGCGGATTTGTTGATGCTCGCCATTCATCGTCTACTATACTTCTTTAACGCTCGACAGCGTTGGCGGATTTGTTGATGCTCGCCATTCATCATCTAATGTACTTCTTTAACGCTAGACAGCGTTGGCGGAATTGTTGATGCTCGCCAGTCATCCTCTACTGGTTTATGATATTTGTAGCAGGCATGCATAAAGTGATGCAATGACTCGCCAAAATTGTAAGTCAAAACGAATGCTAAACTTTTGCAAGAAAAACATGCAATTGTTGTATAGAATTGTCTGATGGATGTCTGAAGTCCATATGGATGTATGATTTTATGATATGTCATGATGGTGTCATTGATGTCACATGAAGATAAAGTATGATGTATGATTGCTAGTTATATGATATGTTTGCTTCTGTTTTATGTTTTAACCTAGGGTTTCTTTAAATTGCTCATCCTCTAGAAACTGTCATTTCCTTTTGATCAACTTAATCTTTTGTCCTGCTTATGTTGGAGAGACTTTCAGCTTGCTCGCTTGAAACTTATCTTCGTGGTGGTATTGTGTAAGGGTATACTTTTTGGGGTGAGATGATGGTGTATATTGCTTCATTCTTCTTGTCGGCCACGCTTGGACCTATATGTTTTACAATTGTGCAACTCTTTGTATGTGCGATATGTTGGTTCCTCCTCCTTCCAACCATGAAGTTGAAGGATAGTAGGTTTACTGGTTGGTTTAATGGGATTTGATCGCTCTCATACTCCTTGAGACTTCTTCATCGACTCGTGAGTGAAAAGTTGATTTCGATTCTTGGGTACTCAGGCTTCCCCTTCTTCCATGTCGAAGATCTGTTACTCACTTTCTATTCTCCGGAACAAAGAGCGACTTTATCAATCTTGACTTAAGACGAATGCAAAAATGTTTGAAAATGTTCATTGTTAAAAATGCAAGCCATGTCAATCTGTTTGAAAATTTAATTTTCTTTTTAATAAGAGAAATATAAGCGAAGCCATGAGAATATTAGTAAGCGCTCGCTCTCACTCTTGATTTTGATTTCGCTCATCACTCACTCCTATAGGTGATTCGTGTGTACGACACTTCAGCTACCATTAAGATTCTGGTCACTTTGAGACGTCGCCTTTATACTATGGCCAACTGTGTTCCTTGTGAAGATTTACTCAAACATGGAAGCCCTTGGTATTATTGATTTAGGAAACCCCTCATATGGCTTCGTCACAAATGTTTTTAGTCCCCCATGAAAGAGGCTTTTGTCCGATATGACTTTGAGGACACGAGTCTCCTTATTCTTGAGGTGTAGTTTATCCACAATATCTGTATAAAGCTTCTTGTATAGGGATTTTGGCTTCGCCCCCAAAGTATAGGATTGACTTGATGGATTAAGAACCACTTATTATCTGGATCCTTTTGCCGACAACGTCTTGTTCGAAAATACTATTGGATTTTCTGGGAATGTATCTTCAGCTGGGTTTGCCCCCCCCCCCCCCCCAGTATTTTTTCGATAGGCGAGGCTATGATTTTTGTGAGTGCAGTCTGACTTGGGATTTGTCGAGATCCTTGTTTGGCCTATAAATGCTGAATGCTGAGGATTTTCAGCTTCTGACTCTCTCTCAAAATGATGAGTAGGATGATGTGATTTTGGCTATAATGGCTTACATATCATGAAAGTTTCTTGCTTGAAGTTCCTTCTTGTTGTATCTTGAGATTGATCGGCAAAGATCTTGACTTGGTGCATACAGTTGGTACTTCAAATGCTAAATATGGGCACCTAATTTGTAAGTCCCACAACTTTTTTTTTTTGCGAGACTTACTTGACTTTTTTTTTGCCCCCGGTTATGCTTTTTCTTTCTTAATCTAGCGTTTACCTTTGGTGGGACTAGTATTGAAAGGATCGAGAGTATGTTTTGATGATTGATCGTGTGGGTGTCGCTTCTCGTTAGCTAGGTTGAATTGGCTATTCTTTTTGTAGAAGTGAGGATTTCGATGCCATGTGCTTGTTTGTATAGATGAGTGCTTCACTCGTGTGATTCTTGGGTTTTGATAAATAGGATCCCTGAAATTTCCGGTCTTCTTGTCCAAAGATATTGTGAGAGTTTCCTGTCTGTAATGTTGTGTCCCTTGTACGTCGAAATTTGGATATTTGAGTTCATGTAAGCTGAGTCTCAATTTGTTGGCGAAAGTCGACTGTTGTGGTGACGAGATTCTACAAGTAGCATGATGTCGTATGCTCATTACACCTTTTTACTATTAGCTCCCGTAATTTATGAACACGAGTAGGGTGTTTGTTTCTTGATTCTAGTTGATCATGCACACCCTCAACACCAGTAGGTGCTCAAAATATTGACAGTTGCAGGGTGTTTATAATCACTTCACACCAGTGGGGTGTCCCAAATCTCAGCACCAGTGGGGTGCTCATTATTGCTTATCATGGCAGTCTCACGGCTTAACTTCGAAAATAAGGTTGGCTTTGGATGTCTTCCATTTTTGTAGAAGATAAATTCATTTTTAAAAAGGACTTGTAGTGGCATTCGTTATTTTGATAAAAACCCATTGATGGGAACTCTTAAATTAAGATTGATAATGGTCACGCAATGCTCCGAAAAGGTCGAAACGTGAAAGATATTTTATTCATGATGACGAAAGCAAAAGTGATACATATTTTGTTATGGCAAATGATCTCGATATTTTATTTACTTAGGTAGGCTCGACATCATCATAATCGAGTTTTGCCTTGTAGTACGCCCACTAATTCTCATGCGTTGGCAGTGAATTCCTGTTGACGTCTGGGCGTTTCGGCTCTTCTTCGAACTTCAACCAACCAGTTTTTACCATTTATTGAATCCTTATCTTCAGAGCGTTACAATTTTCCACTGAGTGCCCTTGGACTCCGGAATGGTAATCACATTGCTTATCGAACCTATACCATCTTAGATATGGAGGTCGTAGAGCCTCACCCGGAATAGGAGTGATTAGTCGTTCATGGAGTAACTGAGGGAAGAGTTCGATATACGTGATTGGGATTGGATCAAATACCCTTTTTGCTTTCCTTGGGATAGTGACATCTCGGTTAACACCTTGTTGTGGTACCGGCAGTGGGATTTGATTTGCTGGTGTCATGAAGTTCATAGGTCGCAATATTGGTGTGGTTGTTGCAACATAAGAAAGAGCATGATTCTTTTGAAAGTGACACTTCCAGATATTCTCTTCTGCTTCCACCTGGGTTGACAGTAGTTTTCCTTTATTTCGTACCCTTTGGTTTGCCCTCTCATCCATTTCGTGATTCTCTAACTTCCCTTGTCCGATGCAGATCACACGTTCTTCAAGCCTTTCTGATCTTCGTGGATTGTCACATTTTGATTGTTCTGCATCATGCACGTTCTTTGAGAGCAGGAGTTGAGTCTTATCACTTGACGTTACTTTGCCGTGCGGTTGGTATAAAATTTCTTCGCCAAATGGCGCATCTCCATTTTTCGCTTCCATTGTCCTCTCAATTTTTGACAGAATCCTCAAAATTGTGCTAACATCCTCTTTCATTTCTTCAAGCCCAATCACTCTTCTCTTGATGTCATTTAAATCCTTTTGAAATGCCTCCATGACAAACTGAGCCTTGGATCTTGTCGAGTACTTTAGGATTTGATTTTTCCTTGTGGAGGAGCAATTTTAAGAAAACCTAATTTTTTCTTAACATTGATTAATTTTTTCTGTTCTTTATACGTATGCATGATGCTTATGCAAAAATGCAATGATGCATGAATGCAAATACGATTTTGAGGGGTGTATATGTTTTTCAAAAATATTTGTGTGACCAATTTTGAATTAATGAATGAAAGTTTTAAGAAAAATATAAAGATATGGGTTTTTAAAAAAAACCTTTCACGTCACTTAAGTAATATACATAACATAACATAACATATTATATTAATAACAAACATACATTTATATGATAGAAAGAATGTCACCCTAATTAGGTACATTTATGGCTTCGGGAGGCGTGATGACTTGGTTGTAGGGTGGCATTTGGGATTGTTTTGGACTGTTTAGGGAGGTTTCTAAGCTCACTATATGCTGGCGGGGGGAATTCCTAGAGATTTGGCTCCCAAGTTGTATCCGCCGCAGTCCTTTCGAACTGGCTAGATACCTCGGGATCATCCTCGGATCCGAGTTCAACTTGGTTAGAAAGTTTTGCGTGACGACCACTACTATGGAAGTCACAGGTACTCCATTCAAGTTTCTAAAAGGATAGCTCGGGTATAGAGCTTTTATGCATGAATGCAGAATTTAATTGCGAAAATATAATTGCGCAAATAAAAAAGTAAACACC